CGTGACTTCGGTCGCGAGATTCAGTTATCAGTTACGTGACTTCAGTCGCGAGATCAGACCGGTTATTTTTATCAGTTACCTGATATCAGTTTCAGTTCAGTTGTATATACTTAGTTTATGATCATGTTATTATTTACGATGTTTTACATTAGCATGAGTTTCTGCGGAGCATAGTGCCTTAGTGCTCACGCCCCACATTTTCATGATTTTCAGGTCGCAGGGTCGAAGATGAGGAGTGAGCGGGCGAGCTGTTCAGGACATTTATGATCTCTGTACTTGATGTTGGATGCTAAAACTTTTCAGAACTTTTATTCAGACTTTTATGTTCTTTTGCCACGCTAGACTTCCGCTAAAACTTTCAGACTTTGCTCCGACGTTAGTCGGATAATAAATTATAACCGTTTTATGTATCAGTTTTAAATTCTAACGGTTTTCAGAAGTTATGTTTTTCACGGTAACCCCCGAATCAGTTTCGCAAATTAAGAAGTTAGTTTATTTATTTATTTATTCAGAAAATTTGCGAAAAACCGCGTACTCTGATGTATTAAAATAGCGGGGTGTTACAGTGGATCAAGGAGCCCTGGGATCCGGAGGTGCTGGTGATCAGAACGGTGCCCTCGGTAGTAGGCAGTTGGTCGAGGTGGGAGCATAAAACCCTCCGGGGGACAATGTTTCTTCGGCACCGCGGGAGGACCCGGTTATTCAGATGACCAGGTCGTAGTTGGACAGGATCATTGCAGAAGCGATAGGCCGGGCTCAGGAGGTTGATAAGAGAGCTCCTAATGAGTCATTTAGACAACCTCCGCCACGGCAGCCACTAGCACCTCAACAACAGGTCCCGTTGCATCAGCAGCACCAGAGCATGGAGAGGGGCGACGAGGATGATGCCAGGTTGGTGACCTCCCGCCCGGTGGCGATGACACAACCGGAGGGGTTGACTTAGGAGAGGTTGGCAGCTCAAATGCAGGAACTCCAAGCCCGGGTGCAGGGTAAGAGACCTGTAGTTTCGCGAGGACACCCTTTTGCAGAGGATGTCCTAGGAGGGGATTTGCCTAGCAACTTTAGGGAGTTTAGTTTGTCCTATGACGGATCGGTGGACCCATCTAGGCACTTGAGATTGTTCGATAACATTGCTGTGTTGCATAGTATAGTGATGTTGTGGTGTTGCCGAGCCTTCTTGACGACGTTAAAGGGGTTGGCGCAGGATTGGTTCCATCAGCTGCCAGCAGGATCTATCGATTGCTTTGAGAAGTTCAGCTCTTTGTTTCTCAATCAGTTCGCAAGTGCCAGGAAGCACGAGAAGACATACCTCTCGTTGATTAACATGCAGCAGAATGAAGGGGAGACCTTGCGGCAATACATAGCGCGGTACACTAAGGAATGCGTGGAGTTCCCTTCTGCCTCGAAAAAAGTCAAAGCTGGAGGACTTACTCGAGGATTGAGGCCGGGGAAGTGTAGAGATTTACTGGAAAAGAGGCCGGCGAGGTCCTTTGACGAGCTGGTTGAAAGGTGTAGCAAATATGTGAACATGGAGGAATCAGAGGCGGACTTCATCCGAAATGACAAAACAAAAGCTAAGAAGCCAGAAGAGAGGCCTCGACAGGGTGATCGGCGAGCTGCCCCTAAGGAGTCTCGGGTTGAGGATTGATTTAGGGGTCCACGGTATGAGCATTACAAACCACTTAATGCTCCACAACAGGAGATCTTGGAGATGATGGAGAAGCAGGGGGAAGATAAGCTGCTCGCACAACCAAAGCCTTTGCCTCTCCCACGAAAATTTTTAGCATCAAAAGACAGATATTGTCGGACCACCGAGATTATGGTCATTCTACTAACTTTTGTCGAGAGTTGAAGGACGAGATTGAGCGGCTCATTAGAGCCGGTCATTTAAAGGAGTTCGTGATCAGGGATAGGGAGCGCCAAGAAGATCGCCGGGAAGGGCGTGAGTCAGGGGACAAGCGGAGGAGGATTGATGAGCAGCCTGATAGACCGGTGAAGAAAGGTGTCATACACATGATCGCGGGAGGTCCTACCGATGGGGACTCACATTGAGAGAGGAAGAGGACCTACCGGGGTAAGGGTGTGGCTAATGAGGTGGCTGAGGTACAGGTGCAGAGGAGCTTGGCCACTTTGATGTTTGGAGCTAACGATGTGCAGGGGCTTGTCGTCCCACACAATGATGCCTTGGTTATCACTGCGGAGGTAGCCAGTTACGATGTGTAGAGGTTACTCATAGACACAGGGAGCTCGGCGAACATCATATTCTTGAACTGCTTGCAACAGATGGAGTTAGACGTGAAGGTCGTGCCGGTCCACACTGCCCTCTATGGCTTCAGTGGTAGTGAGGTCCGTCCCGTTGGTGAAGTTAGTTTGACTGTGGTGTTCGAAAGGTCGCCTTTGAGGAATGTGAAGATGGTTCGTTTCTTGGTCGTGGATGTTGGCTCGGCCTACAACATCATACTGGGGTGGCCTAGCTTAAACTCATTCCAAGTAGCCATTTCTACTTTTTGTATGAAGATCAAGTTCCCCGTAGGGGATGAGGTTGGGGAGGTGACTAGAGACCAGTTGCAATCTCGGCGGTGCTATGAGGTCACATTGAAGACGGCCGAGGCACAACATGAGAGGAAGAATGATGACTTGCCTGAGTGCTCCCGTCGGGAGAAGAAGCAAGAGTTGGGAATTAGCTCCCTGGACAAACTGATGGAAGTTGAGCTGATAGAAGGTAATCCGGAGAAGATAACAAAGGTAGGACGTCACTTAGCGGTTGACCTACAAGGCGCGTTGATTGCGCTATTGAAGGAGTTTGCGGATGTCTTCGCCTTTTCAGCTGACGACCTCACAGGGAGCGATCCCGGGGTGGCGGAGCATAGGTTGAACATTGACCCAACTGTGAGACCGGTGAAACAGAAGAGGAGGCACTTTGGTGCCGAGTTAGACGTGGTCATTGAGGCAGAGGTGGAAAAGCTGTTGAAGGCAGGGCATGTACAACCTATTCAGTTCCCGGAGTGGTTGTGCAACTCAATTATGGTGCGCAAGGGGAAAGAAAAGTGGAGGATGTGTATAGACTTCAGGGACCTCAACAAAGCTTGCCCTAAAGATCACTACCCCCTACCACGTATCGACTAGCTCGTCGACTCTACGGCTGGGTACGAGTTATTGAGCATGATGGACGCCTCTCAGGGGTACAACCAGATCTCTCTGGCCGTGGAGTACCAAAAGAGGGTTAGCTTTGTGACATCCAAGGGTACCTGTTGCTACGTTGTCATGCCTTTTGGATTAAAGAATGTGGGAGCTACTTATCAGCGGTTGGTGGATAAGATGTTCAAAGGGAAAATAGGACGGAACATGGAGGTCTATGTCGATGACATGCTAGTGAAGAGCAAAAGGGCGGACGATCATGTGGTGTACTTGCGCGAGACGTTGAACACTTTTCGACGATATGGCATGAAGCTTAACCCGACTAAGTGTAAGTTCGGGGTGCGATCGGGAAAATTCTTGGGCTATTCGGTGACGAAGAGGGGCATCGAAGTCAACCCTGAGAAGGTGCGAGCCGTCATCGAGATGCAGCCACCAAGGAACTTGCGAGAGATGCAGATCTTGACCGGACGCCAAGCAGGGTTGAGCAGGTTCATAGCTCAATCCGCAGAAAAAAGTTTTCCATTTTTTAAGGCTTTAAAGAAGGGGTCGCGTTTCGAGTGGACGTCTGAGGTGCAACATGGATTCGAAAGGTTGAAGGAGTTTCTGGCTGAACTCCCCCTACTTACAAAGCCGGAGCCTGGCGACACTTTAGTCGTATACCTATCGGTGGGGCACGAGGCCATCAGTTCTGTATTGATAAAAGAGGAGCATGGGCAGCAGAAACCAATATATTATGCAAGTCGAATATTGCAAGGGGCCGAGCGCCGATACTCAGACGTGGAGAAGGCTGCCTTGGCACTCATCTCCACTGCTCGGAAGTTGCGCCCCTACTTCCTAGCACATAAGGTCATGGTACGGACCAACTACCCACTCAATGATACTTTGGGTCGTCCTTCGGCCTCGAGAAAGATGGTGAAGTAGGCGGTTGAGCTAGGCGAGTATAATGTCGACTTCGAGGTGCGAAAAGGTATTAAGGCTCAGGCGTTAGCCGACTTCATACAAGAGTGCACGTTGGGGGATGAGAAGGGACCATGGATGGTGTATGTCGACGGATCATCGGCTGTAGGAGGAGCAGGTCTCGGCATCTTGGTGGTCACACCCGAGAAGGATCATTTGGAGTTCGCGGTGAAACTATCATTTAGAGTGTCGAACAATGAAGCGAAGTATGAGGCCCTCATCAAGGGGATTCAGCTCGTTTTGAAGGAAGGGGCCCGACAAGTGATTATTCACTCAGACTCTCAGCTTGTGGTCGAACAGATCAGGGGCGAGTACGAGGCTAAGGAGGAACGCATGAAGAAGTATCTGGTGGAGGTCCATGCGATACTGAAGGGGTTCGCAACTTGGGAGTTAATACAAATACTGCAGGGAGAAAATGGTAGGGCCGACCTACTCTCGAAGGTGGCCGCATCACTTGTGGATTGTCGATCTCGGTCGGTGACGCTGATGGATATGACTAGGAGTACCTTAGACCAGGTACTAGAGGTTGAAGAACAAAGGGATTGGAGGTCGCCCCTAATACAGTGGTTGCAAGAGCCGGTGGTAGGAAAGGATATCAGGGACGACCCGGTTCGAAGGAGGGCATTGAGGTTCTATTTGCATAATGGGACCTTATATAAGCGATCGTACATAGGGCCCCATCTAAGGTGCGTCTCGGAGCAAGACGAGGAGTACGTGCTGAGGGCGGTACATGAAGGATGCTGTGGGGACCACTTGAAGGCTAGGGCGTTGGTCGAGAAGGTGCTCTGGGCTGGATACTTCTGGACTAAGATGAGGACGATGGCACAGGACCTTGTGCATAAGTGTAAGAGGTTTCAGCAGCATGGTCCCGATTAGCTCGCCTCTACCTTTTACGCAGTAGGGGGTCGACATAGTTGGCCCTTTGCCCCAGGCGACAAGCCAGCAAAAGTTCATCATTGTGGCAGTGGATTACTTCTCTAAGTGGATTGAGACCGAACTCTTAGCGACGATCACAGAAGAGAGGGTGATGAAGTTTCTTTTCAACAACATATGTTGTCGGTACGGCATCCCTCGAGTGCTTATATCTGATAATGGCACTCAGTTCTGAGGTCGGCGTACAATGAGTTGGTGCGAAGAGATGGGCATCAAGCAACAGTTTGCCTCGGTCGCCCACCCCCAAGCGAATGGGCAAGCCGAGGTCGCGAATAGATCAATTCTAAATGGTTTAAAGGCGAGATTGGAGAGAGCGTCAGGTGCTTGGGTAGATGAGCTTGATTCGGCGTTGTGGTCATATTGGACGACACCAAGGACATCAACGGGGGAGACACCGTTTAGTCTAGTGTATGGCATGGAGGCAGTCATCCCGGTGGAGATCGGCCTCAAATCGGAGCGGGTGAGCACCTACACGGAAGAAGGAAACGTCGAGCTCCGCAGGGAGGCACTGGACCTGGTGGACGAGCTACGTGACTAGGCGGGATTAAGGACGCCAACATACAAGCAGCGGATGAGGGCAGCCCATGACAAGTCGGTTCGAGCTCGTCGATTCCAAGTGGGGGACCTGGTCTAGCGCCAGGCTGATGCCCTGAAGCATGTTGGGAAGCTGGAACCGAACTGGGAAGGTCCTTATACTGTTGAGTGGGTATTCGCGGGGGGCGCCTATGAGCTCCGTGATGTTAAGGGACGGCTACTGCCCCGACCGTAGAACATATCCCACTTGAAGAAGTATTATGCATAGGTAGAGACATGTTACCTTTTTTTGCTTTCAGTTGTTATTTGATTATGTTTTTGCGAGACACGTAATAAAGTTGCATTTGAAGTTTTTAAGCTTAACTCTTCTCTTGTGTGATGTGCGTGAGGGTGATGACCTGGTAAGTCTCGCCTAAGCTCGTGGAGCTAGGCGACGACCTCTTTAGGGCGAAAGCCTAGTAAGTCTCGCCTAAGCTCGCGGAGCTAGGCGACGACCTCTTTAGGGCAAAAGCCTGGTAAGTCTCGCCTAAGCTCGCGGAGCTAGGCGACGACCTCTTTAGGGTGAAAGCCTGGTAAGTCTCGCCTAAACTCGTGGAGCTACGCGACGACCTCTTTAGAGAGAAAGCCTGGTAAGTCTCGCTTAAGCTCGCGGAGCTAGGCGACGACCTCTTTAGGGCGTAAGCCTGGTAGTCTTGCATAAGCTCACGGAGCTGGGAGCGAGCTTGTTAGACTCGCCTACACTCATTGGGTTGGGTGACAACTTCTGGAGGGCGATAGCCTGTTAATCCCACCTAAGCTAGTGGAACTAGGCGACGACCTCTATGGTTGACGAGGTCATCGTATGAAATTGAGAATGTGAGTCTTGAGAGACTTAGCAATAATTGTGCTAGGTGCAAAAGCCCATGGTCACAATGTTAAATGTT